GAGTAATTGTTCAGAAAGATCTATGGGTAACAGAAGTCTAATGTTATCACTGATTTAGCCAAAGAAGGATGATAAGGAGGGTGGGAAATAGTTGCAAAGGAGGAAACAGATGAGGAGGAGAGACTCCAGGAATTATCTCAGGATCCATTCCCTCCCGTGCAGCCGAGTGATGTTGAAAGGTGATCTTTCTTAAAATCACTGCTAAACTCCTCTTCATAGGACATTCTCACTGGTCAGCTGAACTCATAGGTGATATTAAACAGGGAGAAAGAAGGGAAAGAAAGAAGTGGAACTCCATCTCACAGACAGAAGACCCATCTTCTGTTTGGTGTGGATACATGTCGTACCTTTGGAAGTGACATGCCACCAAGATTTCCTTTAATTCTACCGCTTACTTCCTTTGGCTGAATAATATTTTAATTTATACTTGAACACAAACTTTTTTTATTCATTCATGTGCTGATAGAGACTTTTACTACCCCACATTAGGGTACTGGAAGAAATGCATCTAAGGACATCAATGAACTATTATCTGTCTGAATCTCTGCTTTCCCTTTTCTGAGAGTGCATCATGTGCTTCTTATTTATATGATAGTTTTCCTGTAAATGTTCAAAGAAACTACAAAACCAAATACTTCTGGATATTTTTATTATCTTTAAGTAGTTGTACAAGGGAGCTAGCATTCAACAAGGTAGGATATGAATACAGTTCCTTTTCAGTAACGTCATCCCTTTCAACAGTCTCACCTATATGCCCCTTTCCTCCTTTTTCATAATTGTTAGGGTATGTATTGATTTGCTTGCCATTTAACAATGCAGTTTATGTATACAATGCATCTTGATCTGTGTCATCCATTCAACATTTTCACCACCACCACCTCTGGACCCACCATTTCCCTTATTTTTCTCAATTCTGTGGTATTTACAATGCGTTCTTCCTTGCATTCTACTCCTTTTCCCTTTCATTCTCCTAATATTCTCCCTTTGCCTTCCTCACAAGACCCATTCATTGGTACTTATTTTGTTAGACATATATACTATAGTATATAGTATATACTATTTGCACTCTTCAAAGAATCTGCCATACTTCAGTTAATACATTTACACCTATGTGCATATCATCCAGTGTGTTTACTTATAGACTTTAAAGCACATTGTAGTTCCCACACATCAGAGAAAGCATGCAACTTGTGTTTCTCTCTATCCAGCTTAGTTCAATTAATATAATATTTTCAAAGTCTTTTCATTTCTTTATAAATGATAAAATATTGTTTCTGATAGATCTTTCAAATTCAGTTGTATGTACACACACACACACATATATATCACATTTTCTTGATGCAACCATCCAATGAGGAGCATTTTGGTGAAGTAAAACAGAGTATTAGAGCGATAAATCCACGTCTTCAAAGAAAAAAAAAGCAAGGAACACCATCTGCAGGTCTTCAACTTGGCTTCATTGATAGGAATTTAGTATGGCTTATTGCGTAGCAAACACAGCTACTCTGTTAGGGATCTACTCTCCAGGGTGCAAGAAGAAGTCCTCCATGAGCAACCTATGATCATCTGAAAATAACATATAAGGGACTAGGCTCATTCAAGAGAAAACTTGTGAGTTTCATGAACAGACAGCCAGGACCCTCTCAACATCAACATCTACTTTAGTGATTTCTTCCTCAGTTTACATCTATGGCTTCCTGGGACTTCTTTAGAAGTGAGCAACAAAGGAAAAAAACAAAACAAGTTCGAAAAAACTAAAAACAGTCACCACTTGAGGGTGGATGGATATAGCATTACAGTCTTCTCAGAAGCAACCCTGAAGAATATCATGGAAAGAATGAAAGAACTTCAATGGGACCAGTGAGAATACCCAATTCATTTGGACAGAAAAGTAGTCCGGAGTATGATTCTCTATGCATTTGTGTTGGAGTTTCTCACAGATTCACTAGATGATTAGACAAGACTTATCATTGGTGGCAAGGAAGTTAAAGTAGATATGCAAATATCCCAATATCAGAACAGTATGTGATGACACCTGTGTCCCAGGGAAAAGAATATCCAAAGATTTTAAATGTGGAAGACACTTAACAATTATGTGTACAATAGAATATACTCTGTGCATGATAACCAGAATCTGTGCCTATCTCTTATGCTTTTCTTCAAGGAGTTAGGCACAAGGTCATTGTGATGCAGGGTATGGAAGCTGGATCAGATTGAATAATGACCCTTCAAAGATGTCCACATCCTGATTTTATGAATATGTTAAGAGGGACTTGGTAGATGTAATTAAGGTAAGTATCTTGAGATCCAGAGGATATCCTAGATTTATTTAAGTCAGCACAATATAATCACAAAGATTCCTACAGGTTAGAAACACGAGGATCACTCATATTCAATGAAGGCATGAGGACAGAAATCAAGAACAGAAGCAAGATCGGATGGACGGTCTTGGCTTTGAATGGGGAAGAACAAGCCCCAGAAACAAAAGGAGAGTATACTGGAAAAGATGGCAAAGGTAAGGTGTTAATGTTTGAATAAGATCTTGGTGAAAGAATTAGGTAACTGGAGATGCCCCTCTGAATGTCATGCCTGGTTAGTGGTTCTTTCTTCTCTCTCAGCTTCCTGTTCACCATGAGGGGAAGAAACTCTCAATTCCATGATGTTATGTGTTGCTTAAAGGGGCCAATCACCCATGAACTGAACCCTCTGAAATCATAGGCAAAATCCATCCTTCCTCCCTTAAGTTATTCTCTTAGCCACAACTTCTTCCAAAATAGCAAATACACAAGGGAATATATCCCCCATCCCCAGACCCTCTGCAACCAATGCAACCTTCCAGATCTAGATGGAATTATGGCCTGGGACTACCAAGACTATTACAATTGTGCTGTTAAAGCAGTTGTCTTGTGACAATGTGTTCAAGCACTCACAGATGATTGTGGTGTGGGGGAAGTAGGAAAAGATCTTGGTAAGATGAGACAAACTTTTCTGGGGCAACCAGTAATCAACCACTGCAAAGGATGAACCTATGATTGTCAACCATCTTGTATTTTGTGTACTGACAAGCAGGTTTCATTGATTTGCTCTCCACTTTCTCATGTGGTCTTCCACACAGAATAGATCCTATAGTGGTGCTTAATGTCCATATCTTTGTGTGAGGAAGAACCATAACTTGTCTCAGAGAATAAGTAACAGCATGCATGTTCATGATTGCTCCACAGGAGGTTCTGGTGTCACCTCACTTAAGTCTGCCTCTCTAATTAGTTTGAAGGATTAGAAAATGTCACATAGAAAGACAGAGTGAACTCTAGAAGCTGAGGGCAGGGAGGTCTGATCAACAGTAGTCTTCAACTTCAGTCTTCAACTTAAAGGATCTGTACTCTGAATAATGACACAATTAAGATTAGAGCATACAGAGCATTCCTACTTGACCCTAAACAAAACTGAAGTCACACACTAACATAGAAGCCCCCACAAGCCCAGAATACAGCAAATCTGATTCCATTTGTCAGAGCCACAGAAACTTCGACATAATGAATGCACATTATGTAAAACTAAGCTGTTACTAGACAATAGAGCCACTGAAACTTTGACATAATGAATGCACATCATATAGAACTATCACATTTGTGGTTGGGGAAACTTGACACCTTCTTCTATCATAGCTTCTAATATATAAACCATAAATTATGAGGTCTGCTCAGGCTCCCAGGGACACAATAGATAGTTGTGCCCTTTGCAAAGTTTCAAGACATCCACAGAATCCCCTTTCCCCATCACTCAGACATGAGGGACTTGGTACCCATGGAAATTATGACTAGGTAGATATGGAGATTAGTGGGGCTTGGGGTTCTTACAGACGATGCCTCTGGTAAACATGAACACGTGGAAAACTACTAGGGGCCACTCCCGGAATTCAGGGCAGATGTTTCTGTCCCTGTTCCTAGAAGCAGCAAAAGTAGTATTAGCTACACCAGGTGCTTTGTAACACTGGGTAGCCAAGGAAGGAGTTTAGAAATTCTAATTCAAGACTGGAGTTCAGGCAAAGATCATAGATGCTCAGAACTCGGCTTTTCCTTCCATTTCTCCCTTCTTGTCTTTTCCCCTGTCTCTCTGCTTCAAACATCCCTAGGGAATCCTCCTGTCATCCAGACCCAGGGTACCAGAGACAAAGAGATTGCTTACAAATGAATTCTTCAAGCTAGCTCGAACCATAGTGAGTTAAGCCTGGATCAGTGACCTTACCCTCAAGAATAATGAAGTAACTTCTCCAGCAGGAAGGGAGGGATCAGCAATGTTTCTTCATCATAGGTATGGATTCACCATTGACAGTATGACCAGGGGTGATATTTATTCTGCATCGACACATTAGTTAAAATATCAAGAAAATTAAGATTATTTTTCTCATTTTGATAATTTTAAATTTTTATTGTCATTGTAAAGGTGATATACAAAGGAATTACAGTTATATAAGCCAGGTAAAGAGTACATTTCTGTCTTTTTTTTGCCAGTCCTTCTGTTTGAACTCAGGGCCTGGGCAGAGTACATTTCTTTTGGGACAGTGTACCCCTTCTCTTGCCCTCTCCAAGTTTTTCCATCCCATCCCCACCCACAAGTGTATAGTTCATTTTCAACATACTGTCTATTGAGTACCACTCCTGCATTTCTATATCCTTTGTCCATATCTGTGCCCTACTTTACCCTCTGAAAGGTATATATCATTTTGACATTTATTTAACCTGAATGAGAATAGTGGAGAACATTGCTGTAATATTCTTGATATTCAAAAGTAACAGAATGGATTTTCAGGAATAAGAAGCCAGTTGATCTTTGTTTCTGCCTTGTCTGTCCTTGGGAAATGCACTGAATCAGAATTTACACACACACACACACGCACGCACGCACGCACGCACGCATGCATGCACACATTCAGTGAAAGTCAGAGATGATAAGGAAGGCCAGGCCACCTACCTAACCCTTGTTAGAATGCAAAGTTCCTTTCAGACTTCCTTTATGTAACTGATTACAGCATTTACAATTTCCAGGGAGCAGGGGAAAGAGAAAATCTTCTTATCAAAGAAATTTATGCATCCATGAAACCCATCCTCCACATGGTGCCAGGTCACAGGGACCCCCTGGTCTTCCAGGCGCTTTTTGTACAGCAGGCCATCATCTCGGAGGATGTCCCACTCACAGGTCACGATGAAAGCTTCAGGAAGTTGAGCAAAAATATCATCATCTGCTAGAAGGGGTTTATGTTCCCTATCAAAGATACATTTGGTTTCCAGATAGGCAGCTTCATTAAAAGGAGCAGGAAATTTGAGTTGTTGGTTGTCTTTCTTCCTGAACCTTTCAGGAAGGTTGTCAGAGCTCAGCCACTTCCTGTACTTCTCCCAAACATCCACAGGAATACAAGCACCAGTCAATAGAGCATCTTTCCAAGACAGATCAATAGCCAGATATTTACACATAATCATCAACATCAAATTTCTGGTGAGCAATGGAATATTTTTGTTCTGCTGAAATGAAGGTAACTGTAGATTAATGACCTGGAAAAATGAATAAATCAGGATCTGAGCTCGGATGTGGGGAAGATCTGGTCTGCCAATCAAAGTCTGGGTCATGCTGGCCACTATGGTACCTCCAATGCTGTCTCCACAGAGCACAACCCGGGAGGGGTCCACTCCATAGAATTTCAGTGACTTCAGGAAGTGGATGGAGGCATTCAGACAATCACAGAAAATGATGGGGTAATGGTAGTCAGGACACTTGCGGTATCTAGGGAGGAAAGGGTACACAGGTAAACCCAGAGGTCAATGAAGGCCCCTTGAATCTTGTCTTCTACACCCCTCCCCACCATTTGCATGAGTCATACCTGATCAAATCCCAAGATTTTGACCAACAACTAAGGATTCTTATCTCCATGTTTATGTGTGGATGTGAATAATCTGTCTACAGTTGGACAATTTCCAACAAAACCCATATTCTGCTTCCAGAGATGAATAAGTTCCCAACAAGGTTTTTCAAATAGAACAGCATTTGTTTGGAAGCAGAAAAACAGCAATGCTTTGGGAAGCAAAAGACAGTTAAATACCTCTGTACAGTATTTTTACAATTAAAAAAAACATAAAAAAGACAGTTAAATCTGATCCTTAGGACACGAATGGGGATTTGAGTGAAGATAGTGGCAGAGAGGACTTATCTCTACATTTCCAGTTCTTACACCAAGAGATCATGAAACATTCGAGTGACACCATTTAAAGAAGGAAATGAGAGAAATTGAAACTTTCCTGTTATTCTCTGTCTCATCACCAGACCCCATCTTACCACAGTGTCTGCAAAATTGTGTAGAACATAACAGTATGATTCAATTAAGGTAAAGAGATCAAGGTAAAGTTGTTTAGCCAGAGAATCTGAGGAGAGGACAAAATAGAGGAGAGGAGACAAGTAGCGGGAACAGAGGGGAGAAAAAAGGAAGGAATAGAGGGAAAGTGAGAGTTGAAGAAAATCTTCTTGCATTTAAGCAACTCTCATTCATTTCCTTCCAATCATTGCCCATTGCACCCATTTGATTGCCTGCATAATGAGTGACCTAGGAACAAGATTTACCTCTGCAAGTGTCTGACATAATATTACTCGAGAAATTCTGGACAGGAAACAAATGAATTTATTTCTGCACCCCTTTCTGTGCACCCTTTTCACAGGATCTTCATTGTCTCTAAGACTTTTGGAGATTTGCATTTCACTAATGGAAGATCAGATACCAGGGCAGCCAAAAAGTGGAAGTTACCAAATACCAAATGCTGTCTTCCTCATTGTTCTCAGAAAGGACCAGAGATGCTAAGTTCTGTAAATTACATTGCTATACCATACCCAGCCTAGAGGCCCCCAAGATGAAATGAGTTCAGCAGTTGAGGCAGAAAACAACAAGAAGATTTCATTTTTCTCACTTGCTTCTGCAAACTGTGTCCTGTTAATGTTTTGTTATCTCTTGGTGGAAGAACTATAATTATACAGATCATGGCCTTCTGCCCTTTTCCTTACTCAAATTTCCATTGCTTTGCAATAAACCAGACTTGGATTTTCAGCTTCACTCTCCATCAATACCTGCCTGGCTTAAATTGGTAGGTACATAAGTAAATATTTTAATTGCAATAAGTATGAGGAACCATCAACTCAACAACAAACCAGACCTTGATCAGAACTTTCATGATCAATACTGCCACCCTATCATCTCCATTCCTACCTCTTCTAAGAATGGATATGCCTTTGTAGTTTGTTAACTAAATTCCTTTCAGGAGACCAATGTGTATCTCAGTCACTTTTATATCTTGGATACAAGTATCCCCAAATGGCACATTTGCTTCAATCGTGGTTCCCAGCTGGTGGGTGAAATCTTTGAGATATGATACCATATTGAGGGCTGTGACTTCATTAATAAGTTAAACCCTCTGATGGATTCATAATCTCTTGTCATCATTGGGTGGTGATTGGAGGCAGGCTTAATTAGAAGATAATCTAATCCTTTGAAGGTAATTTTGTCCCTGATTCCTTTTTATCTCACTCTGCTTTAGTTTTCCTCATTTGATTAAACAATTTGGCTCTCCTCATGCCACCGTCTTTAGTCTTACCCCAACTCACAGCAATGGAGCAAAATGCTCATGGACTAATATTTCTCAACCACGAGACAAAATAAATTCCTCCTCTCTTAAAATGTTCTTCCCTCAGGTATCACAGGGAAGAAAAATACCAGAAAAGTGAAGTTTCTGTTACTACCTCACAACGTGGTTAGGAAGACTTTGGAACCAGTTTGTGGAAGGAAGTTGGAAACATTTGAAATGTATGCTGGTAATGACCAAGAATTCTGGAAGTACTCATGAGGTCTCAGATGGAAGCATGATTCTATTGGAACTTGGACTAAATGTTATTCACGTTACATGATGACAGAGAAGCTGTCTATATTTGAACATGCCTTGAGACTTTGAGTTTGAAATTGTTTGACTAATTTATGTGGTGAAGGAAATTTCAGGCAGTTCATATTTTTTGTCTTTCTTTTGTCAGTCATGGGGCCTGAACTCTGTGCCTGGGCACTGTCTCTCAGCTCTTCAGCTCAAGGCAAGCACTCTATCACTTGAGCCACAGCACCACTTCTGGCTTTTTCTGCTGAGGAATCAAACCCAGGGCCTCATGCATGCAAGGAAACACTCTACCACTGAACCATCTTCCCAGGCCCAAGGTAGTTCATCTTATAAGCTGTGATATAGTTATTTCTGGGTCCTTTTATCCAGATTGATAGTGAAGATGAGGAACAATTTTGCAACTAGACTTTTTTTTTTTGGGGGGGAGGTCCGGTCATGGGGTCTGAACTCTGGGCCTGGGCACTCTCCCTCAGCTCTTCAGCTCAAGGCTAGCACACTACCACTTGAGCCACAGAGCCACTTCTGGCTTTTTTCTTTTTGCTTAAGTGGTGCTGAGGAATCGAACCCAGGACCTCATGCATGCAAGGCAAGTGCTCTACCACTGAGCCACCTTGCCAGCCCCAATTAGACTTTTTAAAAAAGAAACTCTAGTGTATTGAACATTATGGAAGAGCTGAATGTGGTTGCTAAAGAGAATTGCCCATTCAATGAAATTAATATTTCTTTTAAGACCAATAGAACAGGTGTCATGAGGATATCTCAGGAAGTAACCAGACCTCACAATTCTTAGGCTCTGAGTCATATAAGTTTATACTCATTTGAAAGACTTTCCCTTGACAAAAGCTCACCACTAGGCCACACTGCTTGCATAGGGCCTCCTGGAAAGTTCTGTCTGTTGGATTCATTTCACAGTGATCCACAACACATGCAATAGGAAAAAACTGCAACAGTGGCACACAGGGGCCCAGCTACCTCCTGAGCTACTAGTAGACAGCTATTGGCATCATCCATATGGTAATGATTGCAATAGTAATGGTTAAAGTGCCAGATAACTTACACCTAGATATTAGAGGGAAACCTGGAAATGTAGCCAATAATGGCAGTGCTAGAGCCCCTGCAGGCAATCCCTAAAAGGGGATTGATGGGTGAAGGTGTGAGCATAAAACCTATGGAGATCCATGAAAGTTGAGGATGCCATCAAAGAACAGTAAAATTGTAATTTCTGCTGAATAAAATTGAAATTGTGATCAAAGCCATCTCAAGAGCAGCTGAGTTGGCTGCAGCATGAAAGGCTACAGTAGTATTATGTAAGACTCTTAGAGACCACATAACATCATCATTTGCCCTGAACGGTGGACATGAATTTACAGGATTTAATGTTTTCCCAGATGTGTTTTGGTCTTGCTCTGATGTGTCTCCATTCTTCCTTTGGAAATGGAGATGTATATTCAGTGCAATTGATCAATAAAAACATTTAACTTCCTCTTCAGTTTACAGAGATTCACAGCTCATAATTTGCCTTGAGTCTCAGAAGAGATATGAGATTAGAACTTGAGAACAGTATTGGAACGATGAAGCCTTAGAGATTCCTGGAGAAATACGAGGTGCCTTCTGTCTTATGAAATGGCTCTGTGCTCTTGGTGCCATGGTAGATTCTTATGGTTTGGACATGAAGTATCCCCAAAAGGCTCATGGGTTCAGTTGCTCATGTTGCACCGTTGGTGAATTCAATCATTGACATGCAATTGGATAACAACTATTCTGACTTCACCAAGGAAAGAGTCAGTGTGATGGAAGTACGGGAGTAGTGCCAAGTTCAAGCCAAGCTGGAGGAAATAGGTCACTGGGATGTATGTTTGAAAGGTTTCCTTTTCCCAGGCCATTTTTTCTGTCTTTGCTTCCCAGCTGCCATGAGACAACTTTCCTCTGTATGTCTTCCCATTGCCTTGACTGATGTTCTGATTCATCACAGGTGCACAGCAATGGAACAAGCTGACCATGGACTGACCCTCTGAATCCATGAGTTTAGATAAATCTTATCTCATGCGTATTGTTTATCTCAGGCATTTGACTCCATGACAGAAATGGAACAATACGGACAGGATTAAGGGTAGTTATGCCAGGTAGTATTTATGACCTCTAAACTCTGCATTCTGTAATGATGGGCATCATTCCAGGCTTTGCTGTTTAGGACATTGTGATGCCTGTGTCTGTGAGAATAATACAGGATGTCTTTTCCAATGTGAACCCACAATATATGTCTACAATTACTCGGGACTCACCCTTACCTTCTCCATCACTATAGATAAGCCTCTTTCCTGGGCCACTTACCCCACTGCCATCAGCACTGAGTCTGTCTCCCTGGCCAGAACATTGCACAGGTTATGGTAAGAATCTGCAAAAAAAGAAAAGACCCAGAATGGTCCATAAAGAAAGTTTATAGCTTCCCACTACTGTGCCAGAAATAACACTGCCAATGAGGCTCGAGGGTTGATATCTTCACTCAGTTCCTACATTTGCCTCCTCTTAAGAAACCACTGCCTCCTCTACCTGGGCAAACTTACATCCCTCCACAATCTAGTCAGTGTCAAAACTCAAGTCAAAATTGGGACTTATGGTTTACAATTCACAAACTTGCAGTGTGGAAAACTGAGGTCCAGGCACAATAAGAGCTCTAAAATGGGCAAAGCCAACACTAAGGAGTTTGGATGACATTCTCAGGAAAATTAATAATTTCATATATTTATACTAAGACATGAATGATTCACAATGAAACATTTTAATGAGAAGCGAGTTCATCTAAAGTTCTAGGTGGAAGATACTTTCATGTTAGTGGCACAGTGCATCTTAACACAGTGCTGAGCACAGACCTGACAACATAACCTCCTACTGAGTCTGGCCTTGCCCTCATTGTCCCCATTGATGCAATAAAAAGTCTTTGGACATGCACAGCTGGCAGTGCCACAACCAATTGAGTTAGGACCTCAGGTGGAAATTGGGCACCAGGATTTTCTAAATCAAACCAGGCAATTGCAGTATTGAAAAGGAGTTGTTGGGAGTGCTTACTGTGGTAGGAAGACTAACATCGGACAAGAATGGGGTAAATTTTGCCTTGCATGCTCAAGGCCCTGGGTTCTATTCCTCAGCATCACATAAGCAAAAACAAAAAAGCCAGAAATGGTGCTGTGGCTCAAGTGGTAGAGAACTAGCCTTGAGCTGAAGAGCTGAGGGACAGTGCCCAGGCCCAGAGTTCAGGTGCCATGACCGGACCCCCAAAAAAAATGGGGTAAATTAGGCCATAAGAAATTCTGTCTTCCAAATAAATACAATTTGATGTAGTTCTTACAAAAATCAAAATTAATAATTTATAAACAATAGAAAAGACACTGAGGAAATTGACAAAAACACAACAGGGGTCAACCCTGCACTTTTGGTTTCCCCAATATTAGTGAGGTCAGATATAAACTGAACAGGAAAGACACTGTGATACACTTACTTACATGAGCTCAGATGGGGACAAGTGCCACAGGACATGTAACATAGAAGATACATGTCAAGGAGAAATACTAGGGAACAGCCTCTGACCTCGGAGCTACAATGAGAGTTCTTTAGGTAAGATGTTCAAAGAGGCCACTGTTGGAAAGGACAATTGATATATGAAGAAAGATTGAGGACTTGTCAGTTATGCCTTGTCAAAGATGAAGACATCTTTTAATGCTTAGAAATAAACAAAGATAGAAGTCAAGGCGAAGCAATCCTGTGCATCTCCATTGCACAGAGCTGGAGGCCAATGATATGACAAGCTCAAAATGATGCAATTGACCATGTCAGAGACATAATAAAGGAAGACCTGCACTAACAAACTGTGATATCTATTCATAAGATGTGGATAAAACTCCTAATTTGAAATTACAAGGCTTAAGAAAAAATGGACTCAGATGATGGTTATCCACCACAGATGAGAGAAACAGATGCATTTTGCATTCATGTGAAACTTTTATGTCAGGACTGAGGTTATGAGTGGGAAGGAGAAGAACAGTCACAGCCAGGAGCTTGGCAGCCCCACTGCCACATCACTGCCCTCACATGGACGAGGATACCATTGCTTACAGAATATTTCCAGAAAGGCTACAACTAACTCTGTGGATGGTCCTGACCCTCAACCTCTATCTGACCTCCTACACCAAACTCCAATGCTACTTCACTTCACCCACCCCAAGTCCTCAATACAGTTTGGCAGGACTGAAGGATTAGCGAGGGCCTTCTTTTCCTAACGCATACCAGGGGGAACGCCCTTACCCAGGCTGCCCATCACTGAGCCTCCGCCATGATAGAAGATGATTCCTCTCCGAAGGCTGGGCGATGCTGTCTTGGGCTGGAATAACCTCACAGGGATTGTCCCAAATTGCAGGTTGGTCACCATCACTTTAGGGTCCTTCTTTATGGGTAGTAGGTTTTCCATCAACTGGATAAAGTGGAACATGGAGCAAATTCCCAGCTTCTCCAGTATATTCCCCTGTTGGAGATAAGATTCCTAATGGAAAATTTGCCTGGGTTTACTCCCTTGGAAACAACAAGACAGTGGCCTATTGGCTAAGGGACAATGCAACCACAAGGCTCTCTGTGGTGATAGGACTATAAGAAAAATAAGCTTCTATTCTGTATAAATCATCTACTATGTGGTATTGTTAAAGCAACAGGGAAAAAGACTAGGATGGGAATGATTTTGCCAAGGTGGAAACCCAGTTTGGGGATAAGTGGAGAAAACTCAGCCAATTGTCCTGAACACCTGATCCTAAGTTCACTGGCTCCATTGCTCTGTGTTGGGCTCTATCCAGGGGAGGTGGAAAAGACAGTCCTTCCTCTGTGTCAACAGTCAGCATGGCACACCTGGAGTTCTGGTGACGAGGGATACTTTTCTTGTGTTTATGCTCCATGGAATAGAGTAATGTGATCAATTAGGTATATGTGTTATAGGCTCTGGAAGGTTCAGTGATGGCTCAGGGCTAAGAGAGTTTCCTAAACTCCTCTGTAAACCTTCTACAAGCCAGTGTCTCAATCTTTGTGAAAGAGTCCCAGGATATCAATTGCATGACTAGATTCATTGGTGGTTACATTGAATTCTTTCCTCAAGGGACCTCACTTTGGGGATATATCTTCATCTTAGGGAGAACAGTGTGAGGGGAAGGTAATATTCAAAATAACAGCCAGGACTCATTAGATCTCTAAAATGTGCTGGTGTTGGTCCAAATGGATTAACATTCTTATAGTTATCAAACCATTCAAGTACAAGTACAATTATCAATTTTCATTTACCAAAGGGGAAACTGAGACATGTGGAAATCTAAAGAGGCTTCCCACAATTTTTCAGTGACTAGGAGACAATATGTTCTTAACTCGTGAACCAGAAAGAGCTTCACTCTGCAGTCAAACCACCAACCAACTGAGAGAAACTATCCATGCTAATCGATGAGCTTCACTCAGTCTCATTTACAGTGTAAGACACACTGAAGCCAAGTACTAGATCAAGGAGGAAGTGGTAGGATAGATTGACCAGGCCATGTGGATGGCTTCATCAACAGTTCAATGTGTCTTTCTTGAGTGCATTTGTTCTTGTCCCAAGTAGGATAAGCCAATGCATTCACTACATGAAGGCTCCCCAAAGGACACTCTGGAAATTTCTTGACCTGCTTGAGTCAAAAGACAGTAGCTCAAACCACCTAGTGGGCCTAGATTTTCCTTCATGTGTGGAAAGCATCTGAGAACACTTCAACTCCAGGATGGATGAGCTCCTTGGTGCTGAATACCTTGAAAGGCACTTCTTGTTGAACAGGTTAGCACCATATCTGACCTCTGCAACAATACTTTCCACACACATTCTTGGCTCATTCCTACCTGCTATTTTTGCCTGGGAGACTTTCAACATACCCTCTAGTTAGATGGCACCGAATTGTCTTTCCTCTATAATCCCAGGTGTCATGATCTTTAGAAAGCCATCATCCTCCAAATCTTACTCATAGGTATTTCACTGTAAAACCCTCTCTCTCCTGCTCTACACTGCCTCAGATTGTATTGCATGGATGAGATTATGCAGATGTGTCCCAACCCACAAACTGAAGGATCCTTGTGAGAAGAGACCACAACCATCCACCTCTTGTTGTCCACCATCTAGAGTAGTAAACATTTGTTCAAGGAATTTTGGATATGAAACCTCCTGATCTCATATTCTGAAAGGTCATGACATAGGCTACTGCTTTGTTTTGGCTTGCTGTTTCTAAACATGTGCTCACATTAATCCCAGCTGGCAAGTTAGGACAAAGGTGGAATTAGGAGGAATACTGTTGTTGTTAATATACAATATTTGATGTTTAAAAGCTGGAACAAGAAAACTCCTTTAATATCACTAGTGTCTGTCACATTATTGTTCATGTTATTTTTTAGTAGTTCTTAGGATCAAGGCCACAGCTTCTAAACACTAGGCAAACAGTTCACCAATGAGCTCAGTCTTCAGTTCTTTATCTCTTAGTTGGATAAAAGCAATCTTTCCAATCTTTGTATCTCTAATTGTTTAACAGAACTTAATGTTTTCCTTTGGGAACTTAATAAACACACTACTAACAAGCTACTTAGACTGAGCACTTGTAAATTCCTAGCACTTTGATGATTATTTCAGTGCTTTTCCTATTTAATCCTCATATTATGACTATAAAAAGCATCTTCTACCTAGGATTATAGGTGAGAGCTACTGGCACCCTTCACCTCTACCCTATAAAATCATTTTGAAAGGGATGACAAAAGCCAAGCAGTGACATTTGAGCCAAGGAAATGTGTACTTTAATTTTTTACCACAAAGCTACTGAAATTCTGTGTTTTATGTTTCTCTTAATCTCATCATTCTGAAGTAAATAGAGAGAGAAAAAATTAAATCCTCTCTTCCTATGCATACATTGTAGAGAAGAAAAAAGACTCAAAACATGAGGCCACAAGCTAGTGGCTAAGGCCTGGGACTCTGACCAAAAGTTGTCTAATAGTCCTGATGTCTGAACCATACAGTGTGGTTCAGGTTTTTCTCAGTCTCCTTAAGCATTTTATCCCTCCTTTGTCTCTCTTCTTGAGGTCACATGGATATTCACATGTGGGTATTCTCTTCCTCATTTCTGTCCCGGACATTGTGCCCCGTGGGACACCAGTTTTTAAGGAAGCCACACTGTGGCTCAAGTGGTAGAGCACTTGCCTTGAGCTGAAGAATGGAAGGATAGTGCCCAAGCCAGAGTTCAAGCCACACAACCAACAAAAAAAAAATAGTTTTTAAATTAGTTAATCCTCTGCCAACATGAGTAAAAATACATGGGATAATATGTCTGAGACAAGTAGAAATGGTCAGATAAGTTGATGTTAAGCAAAATGAGCCCCAAGATAAGGACTCAAATGGTTTTTTCTTTCTTGCTATTGTTTCTAACTATTTATAAAATGGTTTCTTTGTTGCTTTGTATGTCCCTCCCCCAAGTTATAACTCCTGTTTTCTGTATTTGATGTTGGTATAATTTGTGAAGGGGAAGGGATAAAACAAATCGTTTAAATAGGGATACAGGTGGACCCATTGCAACAGTGAGATGTACAAGACGTCATGTTGAAAAACAAACTTTACAACTTTGGTATGGAGGAGGGGATGGGGGGAGATAGGAAGGGATGGTAAGAGGAAACAAAGGAGAAGGCAACAATGTTTGATAAGAAATGTACTCATTACCTTGCCCATGTGCTTGTAACCCCTCTGTACAGTATTTTCACAATTAAAAAAAATAGACGGGATATGACTCACATAAAATTAGAGATAAAATGAGGATATCATTAAAAACATTCAAAAGACCATATAGGAATATGTTGACATACTCATATAAGCTAGAAAATCTGGAAATTGATGCATGTCTAGATAAACTAAACTAACCAAAACTGGGCCAAGAGGAAATGTAACTCTAAATAGATCTATAACGAGCAATGAAACAACGAAGAACAAAGATAAACCCAAATTCTGACAGTTAAATTCTAAAAGACCTTTAAGAACCAACATCAATGCTAACACTCCTTAAAGTTTCCATAAAACACAATAGGAAAAACGTTATCAAATTCGTTCTATGAACCTGGCATAACACTTGTTCTAAAACCAAACCAGGACACAAAAGAGAGACAGACAGACAGACAGACAGAACTATAGACTAATTGTTTGATGAACAAATGCATTCACAGATTGATTGATATAGATATATACATATAATAATCAATATAGTCAAAGAAGTCATCCATATTGGCAGATGATAGGATCCTATACCTAAAAGAATCTAAAGATTCTATCCCAGAATTCTATCCTAGGACTCATAAAGGCTTTGACAATGAAGCAAGGTGTAAAATCATATCAAATCATTAGTTTTTTGTACACCAACAATATTAGGAGAATTAGGATGAGAGGCAAATAGGAAAACAGCTGCATTCAAAATAGTGGGAAAAAATAAAAACCTAGGAATATAGCTAACCAACGAGGTGAAGAACTGCTACAAAAAAAACTATAAACCCTCAAATGAAGAAATTAAAGTTTTAACAAGACACTAGATGATGAAAAGAACTTCCGTGTTCTTGGATTGTTAAGATTGATATCAAAAGAATATCCATACTACCAAAACTAAGCTACAACTTTGATTCATCAAAATCCCAATATTATTTTTATAGTGATAGAATAAAGTAATTCTAAAAATTATATGGAAACACAAAAGGCCCTGAATATAGAAAGAAATCTTGAGCAAAAATACTATTTATTATTATTATTATTGAGGTATCATGATACCAGACTTCAAACTATACTCAAGAGCCATCGTAACAAAAACAACATAGTACTGGCACAAAAACAGATATGCAGAAAAATAGAACTGATTTAAAAGACCCAGAAACAGATCCATACACCAAGAACCAACTGACTTTTCAGAAAAGAGACCAAAAGACACATTGGAGAAAAAAGTGTCTCACCAACAAATAGTAGTGGGGGGACTGAATATCCACATTCAGAATACTGAAATTAGCTCATTTCTCACTCTACTAATATTAATTCCAAGTACCTCAAAGACCTTAATGTAATTCTTGAAACTTTGAAACATTTCCAGGACTGTTCTTCATGGAAAACTTCCATAGCATTTTCCCTAAGAACAAGAAAACTACTACAATTTTTTGAATTAGGAATTAATTTCCTGAATAATACTCCAGTAGCTAAACAAAAATGAGCAGAGTGACATAATAAAATTGAACACTGCCAGGAACCTGCAACCCCATTGATGATGTGTTTCTCGCCCCTAATTGGTTGAGCTGCACTAAGCTTCATTGACTGCTAGAATTGGCCCCTCCCAGGGGTCACTGGATAGCTAGATGAGGCTGATGGGTAATGAGGCCCTTCCTCCATGACCACACACCACAGGAAAGCTCTTTACCCAGACTGCCCATAACTGCAGCCCCTCCATGGTAGAAGATGACGCCTCGAAGAGGGCAAGAGGACATTGCCTTCGGCTGGAACAGCCTCACGCTGATTGTCCCAAATCGCAGGTTGGTCACCACCACTCTGGGGTCCTTCCTTATTGGCACAAGATCTTGTAGAAATTGACAGAATCTGGCCATTGAGCAAATTCTTAGCTTCTCAAGTATACACCCCTGGAGGAGAGTTGGAGACAAAGTTGAGTCATCTGTTTTGATGACTCAGTTCCTTCAATGAGCTCTATGAGCCATTTTGAAACCAGTCTCAGAAATCAGCATGCACACAGCTCCCATATGGAGATGAGTTCATCAATTTCTCCTACAGTTTATGGATATTGAAGCTGGTCAAGAGTTCTGAGAACCGAGAAACAGGAAACCCAAGGAAAGCCATTATTCTCATGATTAATATTCATTGGGCACTGGATGATTATGCTTCTAATCTTAATTACTGAAGAGACTGAGATTCAAAAAATCATGACTGGAATCCTGCATAAGCAGGAAAATCTAGGAGAGTTCTTTCTTCTTTAATTAAACAGTAAAATGGTGCAGCTCGTGAGCTAGAGTACCAGACATGAACAAGAAAGCTGAGTGAAGGAGTGAGACCTTGAGTTCTAGCACAAATATTGCCACATTAAAATAGTAAAGTATTAATATCATACATTAGTCTTGTTTCTTTCTGCCTTGTCTACATTTCAAAGCTCCAAGATACGTGCTATTAGATTACTGATAACATTTTTATCCTCCCCATTTTTAAGAAAGAGTAATATTTCACAGGCAGCAAAGCCTTGCCTTGGAGATTTTTCAGTCATTACTGTGGTTCATAACTGCAGGTTCCAATCTTCCAAAACAGATTAACAGCCACAGACTCTAAGACCTGTACATATACTGGAGACTCATTCACCCACCTAAAGGCTCTTTTCTTATGGATGAGTAACCGGATATGTTTTACCCAGTCTGGTATGGACTGTCCTGCACAGGCAGGGCCACCATGCACTATACCAACTCATTATCTAACTCAAAAAGGCCACAGATTCTTTCATGAGTTTCTTCTGTTTACTTTCTGTGGGCAAGTGGACACAGAAGAGAATCAAAGCCCATTTGTATGCCACTGTATTTGCCTTTGTCTTTCTACAATGAGCCCAGAGCAAAAAGTCTGGCATATTTTCACTGACCAAAGCACACTGGCCTGTACTTTTAGACCGTGTGGCTTTTTGTAAAATGTCTTCCCATTTCTCATTCCTGTTGCCTGATACAATAATTAAAAAACAACTTTACCCAAGTTTTTATCAGTTGGGCCACGCAGTGCATAATCCGAAACTTCACAGTGTGGCCAATGGCAGGAGGAACATCAATAGTCAGAAAATTTTCTAGAAGAGTCCACAAGCTGAACCCCAGAACCATGATGCACACCACAGTGAGAAGGACCACCAATGAAGCAATCATAGCGTCCTTCTCCCTTCAGAATGGGCTGAGGAACTCCTGCCACCTGGAGAAGGTCTTAAGATGATCTCTTGCCCAAAGTGCCAGGCATTTTATATCTTGCAAAGTCTGAATCACCACTATAAAGTTTTTGGCACATTGAGTAAAACAGAAAAGAGTTTGCATCAGATCCTGCCCTGGACAAGTCCTAGCCCAGTATGTGCAGAGCCCTGACCCCTTGTTCAAGGTCAAGTCTGTGTATTATCACACAACCCTAGTATTCTCCAATCTGGTTAGAAGAAGGACAGGTAGTGGTAAAGAGACTTATGCAAGATGTTGCTAAGTCATGGCCAGGCGGCTAAGAGATTGGGAAAACATTGAGTAAGTCCCATCAGGAGCCCTTCGTCTCTCCGCTCAGTTGGAAAATCAGAGATACCAAGGTTGCATGGTAAAAGAGGAAGAACAATCACCCTTACCCAGTCTTGCTCTTCCTCCTCAATTCCCTGGTATGCTAAACTAAAAACTAACCTCACAATTAGTCTTTATATTAGTGACCTGTTTTTTTATACTCGTGTTTTGACATGTATGGCCTTGCTGATCCAAAAGGGACAGCAATTCCTAGGTTTGAGAGACCGCAAACAGCTTACCTATGAGTACACTTTTCATACATAATCCAAGAAGTGCAGAACCCACACCCTCAACCACCAACATTCTTGGCTTCTCAGTGCTAAGCCACTGTCCACCTGCCATGACTCAACAATGACCAGGGATTAGACAACCAAGGGAACACTTTTGCCCTAGTACACACTGAAATCATTTCAGACACTGAGTTGTAAATCAGGTGACTTAGCCTTGCTTTGTCTTCCTATAAACACACCATATAAAATTCTGTGCATGTTACCTCCTATCTTTCTGCCTCTTGAGCAGTTGTGCTTCACTGTTGGTGCCTGTCCCAGATACGAATGCCACCCTCAGGGGAACTGTGAAGAAAAAGTTGTTTTCAATGGAAATCATCTATTGAACCAGTGGCTTTACTGAATCTCAAATTGTCTAGTAATAAACCCATTCATTATGGTGTTGCTCAAGAATAGAATGCATGCATGCATGAGGTTCTTGGTTCAATCCCCAGCAACAAACACCATATTTTTATCTTCAGCTGGGAATCATCCACTGGAAAAACAAGAATATCCATTAATGTCAGCAAAATAGGATGTTGGATTTTTTTAATCATCTTCCAATTGTCTGCACACTTAGATATCCTAGCACTCTACCTCTCCATTTTCTGATTTATGTGATACTGTAATCAAGGAGCAATTTCTTCCTTAATTCCTCTTTTTTAAAGAAGAGCCCAGTTCCTTAATTTATATCCTCATGGAGAAGCACAAGACATGCTAAGAATGTTTCCTTTCTTTTTGAGCCTCCTGAAGAAGAAACAAAAAGAAACAATGGTAAGTATGACTGCCTTAATTCTCTGGTATTCCCCTGGACCTTCTTGTTCTATGAGTCCTCAGTGTCCTCCAAACCTTATGGTTTGGCTATAAAGTATCCACAAAAGTGCATGGGCTCAGTGCTTGTGCCACAATTGGTTGTTGCAATAATTGAGAGGTAATTGGATTAAGAAGGCTCTGATTTAAGGCATCACAACTGCTGTTAGATTAATAACCTGATGGCATTATTTAGAAGTGCTAATAGTTGGGTCTTATTTGGAGAAAGTAGGTCACGGGGTGTATATTATAAAATAATATCTTTCCCTGACCTTTCCCATCCCCTTCTGTTTTATGGTTATCACTATGTGATCGCCGTTGCTCTATCCTATCCTCCTACTATTATGATGACCTCCTTTACCATCGCACCTTTTAGATACACTTGAAAATGAGCCCAAACAACTGGGTACAGCACTGAGGAAAACAACAGATTCCTGGAACCACTTCATGGCTGGGCAATGGATAGAAAAGCTGTATTCGATTGAAGAGTAGTCTCTGTAGTTGGGTTTGCTGTGGGGTATTACTTAGTCAATCAGTAAATGAACTAAAGTGATGAACTTGAAGTAAGGGAAACTTAAATGATTTCCAATTTAACATAAGGTCAGATACATTCTTTTCAAAGAAAAAAATATTTAGGAATGCAAGAATACCCAATAAAGCTATGTACAAAAAAAGAAAGGGAAAATATGTAGACTATTCAGGGAAATCCTTTCCTCCACTGCCAAAGGAGAATCAACTGAGCCTAAGATCACAGTCAAGGTTCTGGTCATTGTTGATAAAATGGTTTGACAGGAGTCCATCAAATTGTTAAAATACTTACTTATGTAGCATCCACCAGGGACAGAGATATACTAAGACACAACTCTGATACTTGGAAACAAAAGAACCAGATTGCAGTCCCACAATCCCACTGATGTCTTTCCCTTCTCTGTGATTGTCTTCATGGTCACCCCTGATTAGTCTATTTTGTTGCACCCATCTACCCTCAAGTGGTACACAAATGTTGTTGCGGGTCTATTTGCAAACCAAAACTGTTTGTTTTTCTCCTTCTGTTTCCCAATTCTAAGAAATATCTAGAGGCCCTAAACATACACTGAGGAAGTAGAAGCCAATGAAGTAGATGCTGATGGTCAAAGGACTAGCTATCTGTTCATGTCACTCACAGGTGCTCTCTGGTCCTGTCTGACCCTAGTGTCTTATGTATTCTTTACATGTGACCAAGGAAGTGACTCAAGGAAGACTTCCTCTTGCATTCCTGAGAGTAGATTCCAAACACAGCACTTCTATGCTCATGCTCTGCAGGGCCATAGTCACATTCCCATTAATGAAGCCAGGTTCTACGCCAATGGTGGCTATTCCTTACATCTGAGCTTCCTCTGTTCCTTAGAGCTTTTTCTTGTTTGTTTTGTTATGTATTTCAGCCAGAAACCTACCTTTCCAATCTTCTGTTGTAACTAAAATGTTCTTTATATTCACTTTCTCTGTTCAAATTTCTGTGTGCTGTCTGCTTCCATCTTGGTCACCATTGATACAGAATTACTGCAAGAAATCACGCAGGTGATAGACTATAATATGGTTGTGAGGATTGGTTCGGTTATGTCCTTGGGTTTTAATGTGCAATTCTTAAGTCATAAGGGGATTATTCTGAAGTATAAAACATGGGCTCTTGCCAGGTGCCAGTGTCTCACACCAGCACACCTACCAACTCGGGAGCCTAACATCTGAGGATCTTAGTTCAAAGCCAGCAAAAGCAGAAAATTCTGTAACACTCTTATCAATTTATTACCAAAAAAGCCCAAAGTAGAACGGTAGTTCAAGTGGTATTGTGCTAGGCCTGAGCAAAAAAGCTCAGGGACAGCACCCAGGCCCTGAGTTTAAGCCCAAGAAATGGCACACGCACCAAAAAGTGGGGTTGTACATTTAAATTTAGAAAACATTGAAACATTGAGCCTCAAGGTCAATAGGATAATATCTTGCTGATTAATGTAGCTTACCTTTTCTGTTTCATAGGATATTGGTCTCTCATGCCTGTGAGCGCTCAAAAACTTCTTGGGAAGATGTCCCAGAAATCAATTTTACTGCTCCAAGTAAACTCACCACTTTTATCATGAGACTCATAAATCTTGTTTCATGGAGAATGTAGCACTGTTACAGTTACACAGAAACTCTTCTACAGATCAAAGGAATTACAAAACATTGATTACATATATCAAAAACATCTTGAGCACTACAAGTAGGAGTAGGTTTCTTTGTCATCATAAAGAGTGTACAGGGTTGTGGTAGTAAGTATTCAAAAGAGTGCATTTTAAGTATTTTCACTATGGAGGCTCAAATAAAACAACAGTCTACACAGAAATACATCTTTGTGTTGTTCATGCTAGAGAACCAGATGTATTGTACTTGTTTTTCTGATAAGTGGGGGTAGAGTGGGGAGAGTAATAGCTTCTTTGTCAGTAGTTGAAGACTTGAATCAGTACTGATCTTTATTTATAAAGATGTCATATTAGAGAGGGTTTTTTTTTGCACTTTGTGCCAAACAGACTCCAAATGCTAAAAAGAGGGAACATACTGGACTGAATTTATCTTCTGCAAATTAGACATCCTAAACCTCAGCTATTCTTACCCTTCTCTTGAAAAATACATCAGCAAGAACTTGGCCAGCATGCTTTCAAAACTCTCTGGTTTGCATTATGGACAGGCAAATTCTGACTAATTATATTGATATAGGTTTTCTGACTTCAATGGGCCAGTGAAATCAAAGATGAGCAAAATACAAGGCATGCATTTAACTATGACAAACAAGGAAGACATACATACACAGGAGGAGAACAGATATGTTCCAGCAACAAGAATGCTTTTGCTCACAGAAAAAATTGCTTATGTAGCATGGTGTCTGTCCCAAGAATTAAATACATGTCTGCTCTACTATAGAGCAGCATGATTGACAATAACCAAACCCCTAACTTGAGTCATAACAGTGGAAATCCATGGCTTCTCATCCTTTTCATATCTTAAGTTAGTGCACAGTCCAGGGGCCTCAATTTAAAAAGAGGCCAGATCTTCTGGGAAAAAAGCAACTTTTCATCTATATTTCAGGTATATATTGCAATTCTCCATGCAACATTTGGCTAAAAGGATTTGTAGCTTTTACCAAATTGAACCTGCCCTATATATTTTCCATGACTTACTAGACATGGGTTCTGAATTAACAATAAATCAGGTGACCTACAATGTTATGTGGTTCCTCCCAGTCAAATAGGGGTGAACTGAGGTCAGATGTCTTACAATCTGTTTCTCAGTAGGCTCCTTGATCCAAAGACGCATGTATTTTGTGACTTTTGTGTTGGAAAGTGTAATTGCAGATAGATAACTGGGAAACTGGCAGATTCCACATGGTTCTCTGACCTCAACAGGAGCTAACTATGGCAAGGATGACCCTGTGGGAAGCACTGGGCCTGCAACCCCTACCCAGATAGTAAACAGAGGTAGTGCTGCTCCCATGGGACACTGCAGAGGTCCAATTCACCATAAAGGGCATGA